CAATTGTTTAAACAAGTTGTTTAAACCAACTTTGGGAAGCTGTCTTAAAACAAGCAGTTGTTAAACATTTACGTCTTAACCAAAGGCTCAAAAATTACAAGATTTTTGGGAAAGGAAAAAAGGAGGTTTATAACAAGAATCAGAGGACACTTACCATGTTTTTGCCAGAGAGGGAGAGAGAGAGAAAAATGTCAGACCTTAGCAAAGAGATTTTGAAGGGGCACAAGGAGAAAACAAGTGGTACATGTAGGCCCTAGAAGCAGAGCCAATTTTCTAAGACAGGAAATTGGAGTGAGAATGGAGGGAGGCAACTCATACATAATTCAACATACATATTTAAAAGTGCTCACATGTGGTGGGTTTTTTAATTGCAAAGACATATGGCAATTGATGGAGGTCTTTAAATGCAACAATTCCAACAACTTGAGGGTTATCACAGAGATTAGTGCCAAGATTCATTCTTGACCAGACTGAGTCTAGTCAAAGACAGAGTAAAATAAGAGACTGTGGCCTGTGAAGCAGTGGGGGACTGCATATCATGGCAGGAAAGGATCCACGCCCTAAAGCGACTGGAGGCAAGAAACAGCTGTAATAGTAAAAATAAATTATTTGTATTGTAATGTAATGTAATTAACATCGACTTTGTAGTTACCATAGGAAGAAGATGATTAGTCTCATCTCATTCTTTAAAAGGGAAAAGAAATGGCTGTTCAGAAGATGCAGCTGATATTGCAGACAAACACTTTTCAGGTGCGTTTTCTGAAAGACACAACCAAGACAATAGCTTGTCACAATCTGATTTCACAGAATTTTACTTTAGTACTGACTTAATTAACCAATTTGACAGGACATCAAATCAAGACAAGGCTACCTGTTGTATGTAGATTCAAAGACTAACTGATTTGCAGCTTGCAGAAATACAGAATCGCTTTACAAAACAGTTGGTAGAAAATCAGACCCTGAAGATACACTGCAAAAATCTGAACTCCTCCTGGTGTCCTGCTTTATTTATCTGTTCATACTGCAGACTGCATTTTAATGCAAGGACAATATTAAAGAACTTTTGTTTCGTTTTCCATACTGGACATCTTTCCCCTGGCTACCTTTTGCCACCCAAATTCTATGAATTACAATTAAAACATTACCTACAGTATTGTGGTTGCATATGTATGAAACTCTGCATCAAACATATGAAATGCTGTAGTTATGTGCATAGATCTTAAATATAATCTTAGATATAATATATATTTTTACTTCTTTACATAGTGTATGTACATCTAACACTGGCAAGTGATGCATTTAAGAATTCTGTCAGTGGAGTCTGGCAACTGGAAATAATGAGGAGGTGTGAGCTGTGCATTCACCATCAGCAAACGTTTCACTGTGCACAGCCTGGGAACCTTTGTTCCAAAGCCACAAGCCCTTTGATTTAAGTTGATACTGTTTCTTCGCAGAGACAGGTTAATTATCTGCAACTGCTTTCGATCCAAGATTTTATTTCTTATCATACGTGCAAAACTTTTATATTAACTGACTCAAATGACATTTCTTTAGCAGAGGTTTATTTACATACTAACTTGCAAGTGAATATTGGAAAATGGACCATAGAATATAATAAAACAAGAGCTAGCGCTGTGCAGTGATAAAAATATCAAAATGTGACATCAATCCATACATTGTCAGGTTTGCAGGTAGCTTGCTGAAAGCCACCTTATTAAAGCATCTACTGGCAAAGCCGGGGGAGTAATACTTACTCTTCAGAAGTTCCCTGTCAGACATGTATTTGTTACAAATACATTGAAATTATTTTGTTTCCAAAACCTACAGATATAGCTGAAGTAGCATAATAACCTAATCACTACACAAATTTCCACACTCAGTAATGGAAAGCAGTGCCAGACCCTTTTATCACCTGTGTGTGTCCAAAACCTGTCAAATAAGAAGTATGTAAATGAATGATAAATAATCTAAGTTACAGTAAGGCCAGAGCAAGTAATATCACATCCATCTTCTGAACTATTCCTGTATGGAACATGCCATGTTATTGTTACCCAAAATATGTCTAAAAACAAGGTTCAACCTGTTACTGTTTCCACAACAAATGGAAGTTGAATGTATGTGAGTATTAAGAGCAAAATATAAAGTTTATATAAATATATATTTCTGAAACATACAAGAATGTAATGGAAAAGAAATATTAACTGCTTGGCTATGGTCGAAAGAGCTAAATCATTTTGTTATAGTGTGACAGAAAGACTATAACCTTTCCATAGTTAATACTTAGTTAGATCTGAAATTAGTTGTGGTGTTGGTTTTGGTTATTTTTGGGGTTTTTATAAATGTGCATACTAACTGTTTTGATTTGATTTGCCAATCATTAAAATATATCCTATTTTGTTTCTGGGCGCTTTTTTTTTTTTTAATATTTAGTTGGATTTCAAAAATAGCCTTATGGGGAAACTCAAAGTACATTTAAAGAAATTTAAAATCTGATTTTTTGGATACAGCTGAAGAAAATGTGTTTTAATCCCACGTTTAAATTTTTTAAGACATGTTTTAACAAAATTATTTTAAGTTTATTAGAAAATTTTTACAGTAAGTAAACATTGTGATCATTTTATAAGCCAGTTATTATCAAATGAGATGAGGTGGCTACAAATTACAATATGAAAGACTTATGTTGGGTCCATAAGCACTTACCAACTTTGTGTTTCATAATTAGTATTACAGAGCCTTAAAAAGCTGATTTGAGAGGGAGTTCCAGTTCCAGTCCGAATGCATTGTCAAATCTATGCTGTAGAACAAAGTTTTCAAGGTGAGGAAAATAATACATTATAGTACCTAATGAACAATGGGCCAGGGTTATCATTACTTTGTAATTTGTCTCCTTTTTTAATAATTGTTCACTGTGATGACAATGGTACACTAGTGTTCTTAATAATTAACAGAGTTCTTGATCTTTGGTTTTCTTAAATATGGTAGGTAACTATTTTATTGTAATGAAATAGTCATTGCTGATTTAAAATAAAAGCTTAGCTTTAAGAAGTAATAGAGAACTCGTACTGATTATAAAATATATTAAAAATATACTACATGCATACTCTAAAGGCTATTCCATTTGTTTATAGAGAAAGAGGTTCTTAACATCCAGTAGATCAACTAATAAATTCCTTTCAACAATTCAGGGCCATTTTCTATTTTAATTTCTTAATTATTCATTCAAACTATTATTCAACAACATAAGGAATGTTAGTTCACTTACATACTTAGACAAATTATTCTCCTACCTTGAACGCACATTGTTGTAATGTAAAAATTTTCTTTGGCTAATGTCAGTTTTTCATTTCTTACTCTGTTTAATCATTAACCAATTCCTCTCTGTCTTCATTATATCCCTGATACTTACCCTTGTTTTATGGAACCATGAACTTTGGACAAGGGAGCAGCTCATATTTAAATATATACATGTTTTCATCTGTAGCTTGTGTCCTGATAACCTGCAACTCTAGGTTAAGGATTAAAGCCTTTGTAAGTGAGTATGTGTTATTATTCCAAAATACAACTGAGAGTTATGATATATACAATGATCTGTTTGGAAAAGGATGGAAAAGGAATGCTGTTTTTTTATAATGAAGTTAAAATGAAGCACTTTAAGAGCAGTTAGCACTGAGTAAAATCTAAGCCACAGTAGTACTGTTTTCTCTTTAAAGCAGCAGACATATAAGCAAATGACAAAACTTTTCTTTAGCAAGGCAGAAACAGTTGCTGATTTTGCTGTTTTGTCTGTCACAGAAACCATAAGTTAGTCAAAAGAAAATATTTACAGCTTTTCACAATATTTAAGTTATATGTGAAGGAAAGTCCTGAATGCTAAAATTATGTGTCTTTGCCTATATACTATATATCTAAATTTCTTAAGATTTGCTTATAAATTTCTCAGTGAATCCTTGAGATGTGATATTCATAACTAAGAAAGTCAGCTCCTGTGCAAGTTGGTGTTATCTACAAAGGTCCACTATTTTTTGTTGCTTATTTTGAACTTTTATTCTTAGTCAGAAAATTCAACAAGTTCTTGACCACCTCTTGTTTATGTGTGCATATGCTTTCAATACTGTTCTTCCATCTAAAACAGCTCTTTCTGTCATTGATAAGTAAGTAGACAGCAGTCTTTTCTCAGCCTCCATTTGTGAGACTACTATACTAGATCAGGTTGGGATGGTAGCTAGTATGGCGCTATGTTTTGGATTTGTGACCAAAACAGTGTTGATAACTCACCAATATTTTAGCTATTGCTGAACTGTGCTTGCAAGGCCGCCTCTTTTTCTCACTCTGCTTTCCCCTACCACCCCCAGCAGGTGGGATGGACGTGCACAAGAGGTCAAGAGGCGACATGGCCAGGACAGCTGACCCAAACTGAGCAAAGAGATACATCATATCATATAATGTCATATTCAGCATTATAAAGAGCAGGGGACAGTTTTTCAAAGGTTCCTTGGAGGCTGGCTGGGCATTGGTCTGCTGGTGGGAAGTGGTGAGTGAGTGTTTATTGCACTTATTTATTAAGCATTACTTGGGGTTTTTTTCCTTTTTTTCTTTACTTATTAAACTGTCTTTGTCTCAGTCCCTGAGTTTTTCTCACGTTTACCCTTCCAGTTCTCTCTCCTGTCTGGCTGGGGCAGGGAGTGAGCAAGTAACTGGGTAGCAGCTTAGCTGCCAGCCAGGGCCAACACACTACAACTTATACAGTGCAATCTCTTGAAGACACTTGCCTCCATTTCTGTGATCTTCCTAGCAATCTGCTTCATTGTTCTTGAAAACAAGTGACGAGAAGCATACAATATACTGAGATCTAATGAGAGATTTAGAAACTGGTGCTAATATTTTCACCTTCCATGGGAAATAGGCTAGTGCCAGTGTTTTCTTCATGACTGTATCACACTGATATGTTCCCCTGCCAGAACTTATGTCAAGTTCTTTCAGAATCCTGGAATGTCTGAAGAATCTGTCACTGTCTGCACACACATCCCGCCCCCCCAAGCCCAAACAAATATATCAGTCTAACCTGCTTAATTTTTAGTTACTTTCAATTTTTCACTAACTTATTGACTTCTAGTACATAGCTTTTTTCTTGATCAGTCCTTTCTCCCTTCGCCTCTGGGCCTTCTGGCTAGTCTCAGTGGTGCTGATAGGTGTCTGTCGTGGTTTAGCCCCAGCCGGCAACTAAGCACCACGCAGCCGCTCGCTCACTCCCCCTCCGGCAGTGGGACGGGGAAGAGAATTGGGAACAAAACTCGTGGGTTGAGATAAACACGGTTTAATAGGACAGAAAAAAAGAAGGAAACAACAATGATAATACCAACAAAGGAATGTACAAGAACAAGTGATGCCCAATACAGCAATTGCTCACCACCCCGTGATCGACAGCCCGTCCCCGAGCAGCGATTTCCGCCCCCCGGCCAACTCCAGTTTATGTACTGGGCATGACGTCGTATGGTAGGGAATATCTCTTTGGCCAGTCTGGGTCAGCTGTCCCGGCTGTGTCCCCTCCCAGCTCCCCGTGCACCCCCAGCCTACTCGCTGGAAGGCCAGCACAAGAAGCTGGACTGTCCTTGGCTGCTCAGCAGCAACCCAAAACATCAGCACACTATCAACAGCTTCTCATCCCAAACCAAAACCCCAGCCCCCCCCCAGCCTCTGCGAAGAAAACCAGCTGTGTCACTAGTCCTTCCATTCCCTCCTCCTCAGTCTGTTCTCTCTAA